CCTTGGAGTCAGGCTAATTTCTGGGTGAGGACTCTAAGTGCTATTCCTTGTCTTTCTGCTGTATATATAGTAAATGGTTTTTATGGATTTGGTAGCCCTAAGGCGGGTGCTCTCTTTAGTTTGACTGTTAACTCCTCAAAGGCATAGTGGCATTCAGGTTTCCCGTCTGTAGGTCCTTTGTTGTCTCCTTTTAAAGCTTCATATAGAGATTTAGCAATCAGCCCCAAACCTGGTATCCACAGACAGAAGAAGCCAGTTATTCCTAAAATTCCTCAAAGTTGTTATTTACTTTGTGGGCCCCCAAGAGTCAGTATGGCCTGTTTTCTTTGGGGTAACAGGGTCCCAGATCCTGGGGTTAAATACCCTAGGTATTGGACCTGATGAGAGATTATTTGAGCCTTCTTGAGAGAGACTTTATATCCTTCACCTGTGAGGAATTTGAAAACCGGAATGGAATTTTTATCTGAATCCTGTTTGTTGGTGCTAGAAATTAATATGTCATCCATCAACATATTATAGGAAAGTACTGTTGGTTAATTGGAGTTCTCTAAATTCCTTGGCTAAAACATTTCCAAATAAATGGGACTGTCTCTGGAGCCCTGAGGAATTTGCAAGTTTTCTTAGTTTGAGGTTAGTCTATTCAAATGAGAACAATTACTGGGAGTCAGGATGAAGGGGGATACAGAAAAAGGCATCCATCCTTTAAATTGAATACAGTAAAATATTTGGCTTCTCCTGGGATTTAAGATAGTGTAGGGGTTTGGAACTATAGGATGTACCAGAATTATAGCCTCATTATCTGCTCTGAGGTCTTGTACAAGCCAGTATTCTCCATTTGGTGTTTGTGCTGGGAGAACTGCATGGGGACTGGCAGAGCCTGAGAAGCTTTAAGTATTTTTCAATGGGAGATTCAACCCCTTTTAAGGCCTCAGGTTTTGGAAGGTATTGTCTTTTGTTAGGGTAGGGTACCCCTGGTTTTGGAGGTATCTTGACAGGGATATGTTTGTTGCCCTGCCTGGTATTCTAATTTCCTGTACCTCAGGGTTGACTTGGATGAGGACAGATTCTGGAATATTATTAACTTCTAGTTCAGGGTGAGAAGTTAGGTTGGCCACCAGGCACAACAATGAGCATTCATTATTTTCTATGGCTGATGCTCCTAAGGTTATGGTAGTTCCTAGACTAGACAAGATGCCCCTCCCTAATAAGGAGATGGGGCATCCCGAAACTATAAGAAAGGCGTGAGTGAAAGTGAGATTCCTGAGGCTGCAGCCAATGTGTTGAGTGAAATCATAGTGTTGAGGACACCTATTTACCCCAGTGATCAAACAGGTCTCAGAAGAAAGAGGCCCTGATGAATGAGTCAGAGCAGAGCAATCAGCCCTCGTGTCTAATAAAAATGTAACAAGCTCACTTGCCACGTCAAGGGTCACCCAGGGCTCCTCAAGTGTGATGCTCAGGTGGTCAGTGGGAGTGGTAGGAGGCCTCAGGCACTGCCAATTCTCAAGTATTTTGACCATCACTGGTTTGGAGACACTAGGCTTCCTTCAGAGCCTAGGACACTTGCTTTTCCAATGGCCTTCTCTCTTGCAGAGGTCCTGGAGGTAGGTGACCCTGAGTCCAGTGTGGGCACTCCTTCTTTATGTGTCCTTTTTGTCCATAGGAATAGCATTGCCCCTTTCAGGTCCACTGTAGTCCAGGGGCTGGGTGACCCTGAGGTGGCATAGGACTTAAAGCTGCAGCTAACAAGAAAGACTTTGCCTTCATCAGTGTCATTTTGCTCTTCTTCTGCCCTGCCTCAGTTGTTAAACATACTGAAAGCTATCTCTACCAGTTGTTCAGGGGGTGTCTGGGATCCAAAGGCTAGTTTTTATAACTTTCTCCTGATATCTGGGGTTGTCTGCTGGATAAAGTACACCCCTGAAAGTGCTTGGCGCTCGGCAGGTTGAGGTTGATGTTTGTGGATTTTCACTAGGCTTCTGTTAATCACCCCTGAATTAAAGAAACCTGGAGTTTTTATCCTTTTTTTCAGTAACCTCTTTTATTTTGCCATAATTAACAGGACTAATGGTACATTTTTCATATCTTCTATGAGACAAATAACCAAATGGGTATGGCAGTCCCTTCCCTCTCATCCTCTGTCTGTCCCAGTTTGATCAACCCAGTTAGCATCCTGGTCTGGAATAGCATCGCCCTCTGGTGTATACAGGTGATGCTGCATGACAACCAGCTAATTCATTAGCATAAGCTCTAGTGGCTCCTATTATGTGCTGCTTTTCATCTGCTGTAGGGCAGTGGGAGAAAACAATCTGTAAATCACTCCAAGTCAGGTCATAAGTCAGTGTTACATGATTAAAACCCTCTGTGAATTTGCTAGGGTCTTCAGAAAACTGACAAGAGTTTTTCTTTGCAAAGGACCAGGTCAGACATAGAGAATGGAACATGGACCTGAATAATTCCTCCACCAGGATCCCCTGTTTGCTATTTCCCCCAGAGGTAACATGTTAGGGCGTGGATGATATTTTGTTTCACTCCTTGTAGTAAGCAGACTACGAGCAGGGCCAGATGCTGCAGTGGGGGAGAGGTTATACAGAGGTGGTTTTACTTTGGGAGACAAAGTGGGCTGGGAAACAGGCTGCTCCACCCTCAGGGTGGGTTCCTTTTGACCCACTAGGGAAAGGGGCCAGCTTCTTGCCAGGGCTGTAAGGAAGGTGTCCCCTAATTCATCTGACATTGTGGCAACACACATCTTACAAGACTTTTCTTACATCTCTATCTTGATAAAGGGTCATAAACAACTGAATATAGGTATTTCACTTCATTTGCTTTTACTGTTTTCAAAAAAATCTACATTAAAATGACTACTTCACTTCACCATCTGTCTATGTGCCTTTCCTTTTCTTTCTTATTTCTTTTTCCCATTTCCATTTCCCTTATTGAGTTTCCTTCTCCAATGTCCTTCCTCCTTGTAATATGTATATCCTTCTTTTATCCTGTCTCACCTTTTTCGCTTCCTCAATTCTTTCTCTTTTTGCTTCCTCCTTCTACACAATCCTTCTTCAATTTACACAATCCCTCTGTGGCTTATGTGAACCTTCTGTGATGTACACAAATCTTCTACAACTTGCCTGGTCCCTTTTACTTTGCTTCTTTTTAAGTCATTCAGAACTAACCAACTTTAGAACAACCTACTTTCAATTCTGTTTCCTTACATCTTTTATTACCAAAACCATGTACTTTTCCCAACTTAATTAGAATTTTTAATTCTTAGAAACCTTAATTTTTTAGTTACAGCTAGAAGTAATTAGCATTCTTAAGACTGATACCTTTATGAACACATTTTATAAGTTCTAGAAATAGGTGATTTTCATTAGCAAATATACTTACCTTTTTTAAGAGGTATAACAGAGATAACATTAATCTTTTTTTGTAAACCCAGGCAAAACAAACATATATCCTATGTTAATAACTTTAACTAAAGTTAACTAAACCTAAATTACCCATTTGGATTCTTGATGATTATGGTATTTCTTTAGTGTGCTCAAAAGTGAACTGTTTAATTATTTAGTGTCCTTGACAACTTTTCGGGAGGCTGGAGAAGGGGGAAGGTATCTGGCTTGGGCAACTTCAGCCTCTTGAATATAAGTGCCATTTTTTCTTTTCACATCGAGGTGGAGCAATCACCCCTGCTTGCACAGGATTTGGGGGCGGCATGAATTCCCCTATTGTCTCCAGGACCTCTGTCCTCTCAGGCCTCTAGCAAGAGGATTTAGAGTGTTTAAAAAGACTCATTTTTTTATTTTCCTTCAGTTACTTCAGCCTTGTTTACATTTCTAATTACCCCGTAGGAAGACTTATTGAGACCCTCAGTGAAAACCTCAAAGTCTGTGAACGAGCTATGCAAACAAAGAAAGTCTCAACTCCAGTTCAAGGAATTATATATGTAGTGTCCCAAAGAGTTGATTAAACAGAAAAAAGAGGGTGAATGCTTTATAGAGAACCAGGAGACATAGTATGACTAGAGAATTGTGCTGTGAACATATTTAGCTTGTGCCCTGAGGGTGGCCTTCCCAAAGACCAGGACATTAGTCATATGCTGCGGGGATGGATTTGCCCCACTCGGACAGGGGACTCAGCTCCACAGTGGCAGAGAGAGAAATACAAAGACAACACACATTTGACCTGTGAATGGCTTTCCTACACAAAGTGTTTACCCCGTGTCCTGAGGGTATCCTCAGGTCATTGGACCAGAACATCGGACATTGTCCAGGGAGGGAATTACCCCACTCAGATGAGGGATTCACCTCCATGCTGGCCAAACAAGAAGGGAAGGGGTTGCTTTAGATGTTTGGGGTGATCAGGTCCTGACTCACCCAGGTAACATCTGGGGATAGTCATGTGGGTGGGTGACTCCATGTCTAGAGGGCAGGTCAAAAAAAATCATTGCTCAAATATATGCTGTATGAAGCCTCTCAAACCTCATTGTGACTTTTCCTGCTTTACCAGTCTTTGTATTCAAATTAGGTTTGTAATGCTAATTATATTTTATATGACTGAGGGGAAAACAATAATAATAACTAAAACTGTGGACTTGTCTATTTTTCTCATTGTCTCACCAGATATTGCTTCACAACTTTACAATGCTGGTGCATACACATTTAGGATTGCTGTCTCTTTTTGGTAGATTGCCCTTTTATCATTATAAAGGGTAGAAAAATTAGGTTTACAGTTGTTTGTATGGGGAATAATACAATAATTAATAAACTCTATGAAATCTTTCCTACACAAAGTCAAGAACCCACAGACTACCAGCAGGCCTGAGGCAGACCTGCTCCAGGCCCAGTTCCCATCTGTTAACAGTGTGGCACCCAATGAGGGACCAAAAGTCATTTTTTCTTCCTCACTCTCTTTCTAACTCATCTTTCCTGTCACTCCTCATCATTGGTATGGGGGAAACCTACCTGTCAGCCATGGAATAAACCCTTCAACAAAACGTTTTGTACACTTTTACTGAGCCAAGTGTATTTCAGATAAGGAACAGGACAATCTGAGCTTCAGGCCTGTTAATTACCAGACTATACAAAAGAGCACAGGACCCAGACTCTTAGCCAAGCAGTGACCTGTGTACTCTTGGACTTCCCAGAATAGAAGTTATAAACAGAACCTTCCCTTCTCAGTATATTCACTTGTGGCAAGAAGAACAAACAAGAGTCAGCATGAGTACTACCGGGAAAGTAAGTACAGTTTTCTTTATGTCATGTCACAGTTGTGTCAACTTGTGTGCTTGTCTATCTAATAACACCTCATCTTCCAACTCGTCTCTGCACTCCTGAAGGGGAGACTGTCTTAATCCTAGCTCCTCTCCTCCTTTTCTTTTACTCCCTTTGTGTATTTTACCTTTCCTCAGTTGTTTTAGTCCTTTAATAAGCAATATATCAAGCCCTATATCAAACTTTTCAGAGTTGAGGATACATCTCCTCCTTCAAAGATTTCAGAGAGAGAGAAAGTAATTATAGAAAGGTGTGCAAGTGTTTTCTACAGCAACGCCCTAGAGAACTTGTTGCTGGTGCCCCCACCTCTACCCCCAGGTGTAACTAAGTCAGTAAGTTTAAGGGTGGGGCTCAATCCCCTGTATTTCTGACAAGTGAGCAAATATTGACATTGCTGGTCTGGGACCACACTTTCAGCACTGTGGCAGACTCCAGTCAGCAGAGTCCGCCTGTAGTGGCTGAAAGAGAAAATAAATGCATAGGCAACAGCAATCCTGTGGAGAAAAGGGGGAATGGCACAACAACTGCCTCAAGGGGAGAATGTCTATGAGTGCCTCGGCCACTCTCTCAACAGGAGAGCACCCTGACCCTTGCCTAGACAGGCTTTTATTGTTTTTCTCGGGGTTTACATCAGAGAAAGATTTATTATCTATCACATAGAATATTATTGCCTACATTTTAGGTGCAATCAAGGAAATAAAAATAACATGCAGAAGGGAATGGCAGTGAGCTGATTAGCTCTGTCCTTGGATGAATTCACACAGGCTTTGGAAATTACCTTGAAGATAGACAATACACATTTCTTGTTTCAAACTAGGGTGATGGACTTTAAGCAAGAGCAAGTCATAATAGTCAGTATGCATTTTCTAGGCCTAATTCCCACAGGAAAACTCGTTTTGAAGGTCTGGCTCCTGCCCACCACTTTGCTTCTGTAGGTTTTCCATACAGAGCTGAGTCACATTTGCCAGACTGAAACAAACCGGTCCCCTACACAGCACCCTGCTTTGCCATAATGCCCTGCTTGTTTTGCTAAGACTTCAAAAACATTTTTGTTAAACCAGCAGTGGAAGACAGGTACAAAATTTATACTCTAAAAATAAAGTACCTTATATTACTAAAAAAAGAGTGTGCAGGGGTACTAAAGGAGAGAGAGAGAAGTGCTCCTAAACTGGTTAGCCTTTCCAGAGAAGGGAACACTTAGCACAAGGGAGAAACATAGGAGAAAGAAAAATATTCCATATGAGAATCGATAGCCATGTCATTTTTAGGTAGGGGAATAGCATGGTCAGGATTATAGTTCAGATGGCAATGATATACAGAATGGATCTTAAGGTGATGGACCCAAGCCAGTTAAAAGGCAAGGTGAGGACCTGGACCACACAGTAGCAGCAAAAATGGAGAATAGGGGACAGATTCCAGAAAGTTTTAGATTGTAATGAGGTAAAAATTAAGGCTACTTCCCAGGTTTCTTTCTTGGGTGAATGGATTAGGTATATGGCCACTCACTGGAATAGGGAGTGCGGGCTGTGGGGCAGATTGTGAGTTATGCCCACCACTGTAGAAAGGGGTAGTACAGGAGGAAGAAATAATGATGTGTTCATGTGTTGAGTTTAAGATGCCTGAGGACTTTCTAATAGCAGATGAATAAATGAGTCTAAAACTTAGAGAGACAAGTCTATCCATAGATACAAACTGTCAAGTCATCTACATAAAGGTAATAGTGAAATCTATAAAAATATATAGACAGGGGGAGGGTAAGAATAGTATGGGAAATGTAGAAGCTAAAGAACTTATAAGTATGACACATGGACATGAACTAAAGGTGGGGAATGTGGGTGGGAGGGGGTGTGCAGGGTGGAGGGGAGTGAAGAGGGAAAATGGGACAACTATAACAGCATAATCAATAAACTATATTAAAAAAATAAGTGAGACCACATAGGAAGAAAATGTATAGTGAGAACACTGGTGGACTGAAATCAGAACCCCTAAGAACTCCCTTGCCGCCAACAATCTCTCCAACCTGAGCCTGCCTGTCACCACCATTTGATGAATTGCTACAACTAGATGTTCTCAATTCCCTGCTCCATAGCATATCCCTCCACCCACAAACTGATTCTTTTTCACACCTGGGATCACAAATAGCCCTCACACCGCAATTCCATTCCTACCCTGAAGCAGCCACTGTACAACTTCATCCATGGCAAGATCAAAAGTATAACTTCTATCCTCCTGATTGTGTAGCATCATGTAAATATAATTAATATTGCAAAACCAATTTGAATGAAGACACTGATAGTACAAGCAAAGTTGGACTGGGATCCAAGAGGCTACACACACTTAATATATTTAAGCAATGACTTTTTTCCCCTTTTGGTTTGAGTGTGGAAGAACTGGGCTTAACCTTCTAAAATCCTCAAAACAAGAATCCATCTCCCAAGCCTAAGCAGTTTCCCTTTTTTCCCCATCTTCTCTTCCCTAGGTTATCAAATGCAGAGCAGCCATACTCTGGAAGCCTAATGCACCATTTTCCATTGAGGAAGTAGAAGTGGCCCCACCAAAGGCAAAGGAAGTTCGCATAAAGGTAAAAAAAAAAGCTTTTTCACACCAAAAACCAAATTCAGAAAGAAAACTGCATGCTGTTCTATTTCCTCTTCATGAAACACTTCCATTTGTCTCTAAATCCAGCCAGAGAAAACACTAGGGAAGTATGGCACAAGCTAAATGCCCAAAGGATACTTCCTCACAGCTGTAGTACTAAATACTAATTAAAAGAAGTTTCTACCCTGAACCATACTTTAATCTGTACTTTTTAAATTTATTACATTCTTCATGATATTTAAGTTATCTTGAAATATGATACATGAAAAATTGTTTGATTATAGATAAATCAAGCCTAAATCCTAGAAAGTCAGGCTAGGAATACCTGTTATTTTACAGATGAGAAAATTAAAAATCCACTGAGGTGTAGTGACTGGTCACACAGCTAAGTAGAGTAAAAGCAATTTGCCACAACCTTGATTACCATTTGGAAGCACCTAGGATCTTTGAAAAATGCTGATAACTGGATCCTACACCTGAGCATTCTGAATTTGTGATTTAATTGGTCATGAGAGTTTTTAAATCTCCCCCAGGTGATTCTAACAGGGACCACCAGACCAGAACATTGTTCACCTTATTTCTAGTTCAGGGTCCTCTTCTCAGAGTCTTCTCAGCCTGCATCCCACACAGAGTGTACAGGACACTGCTTGGCTATCTGCATTTGTTCCTCCACACAGGGTCCCCACTCATGCAGCCAGATTGAGACACTGACTCAAAGGTATACAACCACTATCTGACAAGCTACAAATTTGAATTTCTCACCCCTAAATTTTAACAAGACACAGAACCTGAGTAGAACAGAAAATGGTGGGCACTGGAGAGGCTGGGTGGACTAGAGCCACTAGCCATATTTAAAGATACGATCATGAGAAACAAGAAAAAGCATGTCTTTGGAAAATTCAGCTATGCACATGATAAATAGGAGTACTGAGATGAAGACAAAGTCTACTTGATGGATTTCTAGATCCATGCTGCTCTTCCTACAGTTGAGTTGTAAGCAATTTTATAGTATTTTTTCAATAATCCCTCTTTTACATAAGCAAATTTGAAAAAAATTCAGTTCTTTTTTTATCCTCACCCAAGGACATTTTTTTTCCTTGCTTTTAAAGAGACAGGAAGGGAGAGAGGAAGGGAGAGAGAGAGAGAGAAACATCAATGTAAGAGAGAAGCATTGATTAATTGGTCTGGGACTGAATCCTGGACAGGGGGATTGTACCTGTGGGATTGAGCAACCAGAAATCGCTCACACCCAGACCAGGGATTGAACCCACAACCAAGGCATGTGCCCTGACTAGAATCTAACTTGTGACCTTTACAAGATGACACACAACCCACTGAGCCACATGCATCAAGATGGATGTCAGCTTTTGTTAACCACTGCTCTAGAGTGCTTCCATTTTAAATGGTCTGGCTGACTTACAACAAACGTGGAATTACAACTTGTACCAGTAACACAACTATAAAGCCCTTGTGCAAAATAAATTAAGGCTTCAATTATAATAGGAGATAGTAATGTCTTTTTTCTCCTGTGTTCCATTTCCTTCGTTACTATATTTGGTCTTTCTCCTCCACTCTCCCACCCACAAGCTCCAATGAAGTACAAAGTAAGATCTTTGATGTCACACTGTGGTTTTACAATTGTCTCTTCTGAACTCATTCTGACATTCCCAGTAAGTTTTAAAATCATTATTTATTCTGGAATTAACTAATGAAAAATATTGCATTGCTTTAAACAAATTATTGACACTTATCTAGAAATAAAACTAAGAAATAAATGCATTAATATTAACATGGCATATCAAACTAGCAAAAAGGTTTAAAATATTACCAATTCTAAAACACCTCTAGCTAAGACAGAGAAAACTGTATTACTCTTTGCTTTCCATACAGATTGTGGCCACAGGGCTCTGTGGTACAGAGATAAAAATATTGGAGAGCAATACCCATTATCCCATCATTCTGGGCCATGAAGGGGCTGGAATAGTCGAGAGTGTGGGAGAAGGAGTGAACACCGTGAAAACAGGTATGAATTGGCACCTGGAGTTAGGAAATAGCAGCAACTTAGAGCCTGCATCAGGAAAATGCAAGATAAGGTGAAATAAAAGGTGAAATTTTGCACAAGAAAAGGAATAATTATACATAATATAAAATACTAAATGTATTGCCATATTTTTTGGAGCATAAGACACACCTAGGTTTTAGAGGAGGAAAATAGGGGAAAAAATTTGAAGTAAAAAATGTGGTAAAGTATTTAATAACATAAATAACATAATATTTCACCGACGTAAATATAAACAGAACACAACAGCAGCATTAACAATCATTATTCCTCCTAAATTGGGCGGGGGGGCGGGGTGTGTCTTATGGTCTGAAAAATGCGGTACATCCTTCACATTTATATTTTGATATTAATAAGGACAAGAAATAGAATGTACTGAAACAGAATCTGAAAGTGTAAATGAGACAAAAATTTACCAAAAAAGAGGTAAACTGTTGAAATGAAGCATATGATAAATAGGCAAACACTATTGGAACCAGCTACAGAAGGAGCCTAGAACTGGGCCAAATATACACATAGGAATTAAATGCAGGGTTAGGTTTGCCTTTCAAGCTTGAGGAGGAAAACATGATTATTCAATAAATGACACTGAAACAAGTGGATAGTCATCTAAAAAAAGTTAAGCTTCATTCTTTATACTAAAAAATAATGATATATGAATCCAAGGATTAAATGTGGAAAGTGAAACCATAGAAGTGCTATAAAAATCCATAAGAGAATATTATTTTATTTCAGAGAAGGGAAGAATTTTCCAATAGTTTTTCATTGTATTTTTTCTATTACTATTAATCACCCTTGTACCTTCTTCCACCTCTATCCACCTCCCTCCCCCTGCAATCACCACACTGTTGTTCATGTCCATGATTATTTTTCTTTTCTGCTCAATCCTTCCACCTTCCCCGCAACAGCCCTCACCAGAGCCATCAGCCTGCTCTCTATCTCTGAGTCTGTCTCTATTTTGCTTGCTAGTTCAGTTTGTTCATTCAAGTCCACATATTAGTGAGACCATATGGTATTTGTCTTTGGCTTATTTCACCTAGCATGATATTCTCCAGTCCCATCCATGTTGTCACAAAGGGTAGAGTTTTCTTCTTTTTGACAGTTGAGTAGTATTCCATTGTGTAAATATGACACAACTATTTTATCCACTCGTCTATTGATGAACATTTGGGCTGCTTCCAGATCTTGCCTATTGTAAGTAATGCTGCAATGAACATAGGGGTGCATATATTCTTTTGAATTAAGTTTCGTGTTTCTTCAGATAAATTCTCAGAAGTAGAATCACTGAGTCATAAGGCAGTTTCACTTTTAATTTTTTGAGGTATCTCCATACTGTTTTCCACAGTGGCTGCACCAGTCTGCATTCTCACCAACAGTACAAAAGGGTTATACTTTCTCCACACCCTCGCCAGCACTTGTTGTTCATCGATTTATTGATGATAGAAGGGAAGGAAGTTTTAATCAATAAAAAACCCAGAAGATGTAAATAATATATAAATTTGACAACATAGAAAGTTTTTAAAGTTCTGTTTATAAAAAATATCCTCCCAAAATCAACAAACAAATGACAATGGGCACATTTTTTATACATAAAAAATTTCTTAAAAGCAATTTAAAAAAAAAAATAGCCCAGCAGAATAATGGGCAAAGAAAATATACATCTAGTTTGGAGAGAAAAAAATATATGCAAATGCTTTTCAGCATGTATAAATGTGCCCAACCTCAAACATATGAAATCAATAAAAAATTTAAATACAATGGTAAAACACTATTTACCTAACAGATTAAAAAAGATCTAAAAGTTTGGTAATATGTAAAGGTTGGCAAGAGTATAGGCAACCAACTCCTTCATATCTTATTATTTTGAAAGTAAATTTGTACAACTTTAAATTTGGCAATATGTGACATCACTTATATGTACCTATTTTGGACTTCCAATTTTTAAAAGTCAAAATACTTCCAATTTTTAAAAGTTATTCCATAGATATATACCCATGTGTTAGCTTTTTATTACTGATGTAAAAAAAATCACTGCAAAGTTAGCAGCTTTGAACAAAACAAATATATTATCTCAGTTCTGTATGTCAGAAGTCTAGGGGGATTTTACTACATTCTCTGCTTAAGGTCTCACAAGGTCAAAATCAAGATTTTGGCCACCTCAGTTCTTATCTGGAGACATTGGAGGATTGAATTCCTTGAGGTTATAGGACTGACGAGCTTTTAGCTGAGCCAGCACTCAGCTCCTTGAAGCTGCTCACATTAGTTTCTGTATGGCCCCTTCACCCTCTTCCAGCCTCAAAGCAACAATAACACATCAAAACCTTCCCATGTTTTGAACTGCTTTGGCTTCCCATTCTGTTCTCCTCTTGTCTCCTGTCAAGGGCTCATTTGATTGCATTGGGTCAGCCTCAGTAATCCAGAATACTCCCTATTTTAATGTCAATTGATTAGTAACTTTAATTACAACTGCAAAATCCCTTTTTCCATGTAACATATTCACAGGCATGATAACATATTCCATTTCTGAGGGTTAAGATGGGACCATTTTAGAATTTCTGCTTACCATAGCCCACATGTGCACAAAACATTATTGCATTCTTATTTCTCATGTCAGAAAAAAAATTAAGACAGTAAATATGAACACCTATATGCCAAAAAAATTGAAAAATCTAGATAAAATGGTTAAATTCCTAGAAACACAATCCTCCAAAACTAAATCAGAGAGAATCAGAGAATCTGAATAGACAGATTACAACTAATGAAATTGAAGCAGTAATCAAAAAACTCCCAACAAACAAAAGCCCTAGACCAGATGGTTTCACAAATGAATTTTACCAAATATTCTTAGAACTAACACCTCTCCTTCTCAAACTATTGCAAAAAATTCAAGAGGAAGATCCCCAAGCTCATTTTACAAGGCCCACATTATTCTAATTCCAAAACCAGATAAAACACTACAAAGAAAGGAAATTATAAGCCAATACCCCTGATGAACATAGATGTTAAAATCCTCAACAAATATTAGCAAACCTAATACAACAATGCATCAGAAAGATCATACACCATGATCAAAAGGGATTTATTACAGGTATGCAAGTTTGGTACAATATTCATAAATCAAAAAGCATGACACAACACAGAAACAAAATGAAGGGTAAAAACCACATGATCACATCAATGATGCAGAAAAAGCATTTGATAAAATCCAGCATCCATTTATGATTAAAGCTCTCAGCAAAATGGGAATAGCGGCAACATACCTCAATGTAATAAAGGCCATGTATGACAAACTGACTGTCAACATCTATTCAATGGGCAAAAATTACAAGTGTTCCGCTTAGGATCAGGAACAAGACAGGGGTGCCTGCTTTCACTGCTCTTATTCACAGAACACTGGAAGTCTTAGTGACAGTGATCAGACAAGAAGAAAAAAATAGCACCCAGTTTGGAAAGGAAGAAGTAAAACTGTTATTTTTTGAAGATGACAGGATACTGTATATAGAGAACCCTAAAGATTCTACAAAGAAACTACTAGAACTGATAAATAAATTCAGTAAAGTAGAATGATACAAAATCAATATGCAGAAATCAGATGCATTTTCATATGCCAATAATGAACTAACAGAAAGGGAAGAAAACAATCCCATTCAGAATTGCTTCAAAAATAATAAAATATCTAGGGATAAATTTAACCAAGGATGTGAAAGACCTGTACTTGGAAAATAATGATACTGAGAAAGGTATTGAAGCAGACACAAATAAGTGGAAACATATACCTTGTTCATGGTTAGGAAAAATTAGTATCATTAAAATGTCCATACTATCCAAAGCAATCTATAGATTCAGTGCAATTTCTATCAAAATACTAATGACATATTTTCCAGAACTAAAAAAAAAAATCCCAAAAAGAAAGAAGAATAAAGCTGGAGAAATCACACTACCTAATATCAAACTATACTATAAGGCCATAGTAATCAAAACACCGTGGTACTGGCATAAAAACAGACATAGATCAATAAAACAGAAAAAGAGCCCCAAAATAAACCTATAATTTACAGTAAATTAATATTTCATAGAGGAGGCAAAAACATACAATGAGGAAAAGATAGTTTATTCAATAAGTGGTGTTGGGAAATTTGGACAAATACATGCAGAAAAATGAAACTAGACCACCTTCTTATGCCAAACACAAGAATAAATTCAAAATGTATTAAAGTCTTAAATGTTAGGCTCAAAACCATAAAAATCCCAGAAGAAAACATAGGCAGTAAAATCTCAGACATTTCTTGTAGCAATATTTTTTCTGATATATCTCCTCAGACAAGGAAAACAAAAGATAAAATAAACAAACGGGACTACATCACACCTAAAAGTTTTGCACAGGAAAGCAAACTATCAACAAAATGAAAAGACAACCCACTGAAAGGGAGAACATATTTATCAATACATCTGATAAAGGGTTAATATTTAATATTTGTAAAGAACTTATAAAAATCAACACTAAAAAAACAAAATAAAATATGGGCAAAGGACCTCAATAGACACTCCTTCAGAAAACATATAGATGGCCAATAGACATTATGAAAAGATGCTCAATATCACTAATCATCAGGAAAATGCAAATTAAAACCACAATGAGATACCATCTCACACCTGTCAAAATGGCCATCGTTAATAAATCAACAAAAAAGTATTGGCAAGGATGTGGCAAAAAGGGAACCCTTGTGCATCATTGGTACGTATTGGTGCAGCCACTGTGGAAAGCAGTATGGAGGTAGCTGAAAAAATTAAAATTGGATCTGCCTTATGACCCAGCAGTTCCACTGCTGGAAATCTATCTGAAGAAACCAAAATCATAATTCAAAAGGATATATGTACCCTATGTTCACTGCAGCATTATTTACAATAGCCAAGATTCGGAAGTAGCCCAAGTGTCCATCAGTAAATGAGTGGATAAAATAGCT